TCATAAACAGCCAGGTTTCAGACAATCAGGCAGTATTTATATGTGGCAGGAAACAACTGGCAAGTGGAGACGGGGTTCAGAAAGCATGACTAAGAAGCCCTGCAAAAGGCATCTGAAACCGGAAATGAAGGTGATTATGCTCCACTAAATCCTCTTAAAGCAACGTATTATTAGTCAACATTGGAGGAAACGAGAACACAGAAATGGGCCATATGAAGTGGAGTTGAAGGAAAGAGATGTAGCACTAGAAGCTATGACAAGAAATAGGGGCGAAGAGTGATGCCCCAACGGTTGAACAGAAAATTGGTCAAAGGGATTATTCTAACTTATCGCTTTGATAAGTTGTAGCTCTGTGTTAAGGATGGCGCCTCATCGACGATGCCGACGAAGCGTCTGGGAATGTACCAATTCAATAATCCGATGCTGGAAATCCACATGAATACTATCGCAGAGAACGCAGGGCTAGGTACGTTCCACAAGGTCTCCCTGTAGCTCCGATCAAGTTGCGAAAACGAGGTAAAATCAACACTAAACATTTGGAATTTGATTAGACTGGGAGATAGAGATAAAAACTCAAGTCGCGACAACGAGGTCAACCCACTTATATAAAAACTCAAGTTTCTATTAGAAGGAAATAAAGATAAAATGTATTTAAAGACTTCTTATAAGTTAAATCACACATGATACACAAAATGTATTAATTTGTAATAGTAATCGAAATTAAATCTAACATAATAGATCAATTTAATTAAGAATAGCGTAAGGATGAGTTTGGCAAGTCCTTTTGATATATGGGCTTCTCATTTAGTGTTTGATTCGCGCTGAACATTTCGATGTGACGAGTCGTATAATGCGAGACGAAAAAATATCGAAAACTCCTTTTAAAACCTTTTGCATTTCAATAATTAATATCCATAAATCAAAGAGAAATAACATACCCCTAAACTATGTACGGTCCATAAGAAGACAACGGGCAATAAGTAAGCTGAGATGTATCCTGAAAGTTGTGGTTTATCAGGCGTAATGCAATGGTCAAAAGCATTTGTCAAACACAAGAACAGAGAAGCAAAATTACCTGATTGTTTTTCATTCATCGTATCACTCGTGCGACTGGAAGATCGAGCTGATTTAGCCTCTTTCTTGGCAAGCTGCTCAGGATCGAAGTCACTATCACTTGAATCCCAGGAAGATTTAGCCGTACCCTTGGCAAATTTTAAAGAAGATATTGAGTCGGATTCAGCAACGGAAACATTTTTTCCGGATTCATTTTGAGATGATGAATTCGTACCGATTGACTTGTGAAGTAGAGCATCCGAATCAGAAATCCTTGATGACTTGCTGGGGAGTGTAGACACTGGTCTCTTTGTTTTTTCATTAGATATAACAGGCTTATTAGAGGGTTCATAATCATTATCGATATCATCATCTGCATTGGTGACACACATAGGACCATGTGCAAGCGGGCGCTTGCGGGAAACAATAGAGCACTTAGAGGACCCAGGAGAGGCAGCCTCATCAGAGCTATCATAAGCGGGAACCAGGCCGGAGCTGTTAGTCCCGGGTTTCTTGTGTCCGGACCTTCCGGAGCTACGTTTTTCAACATCGGAAGCATTTTTAACTCTTTCTTGTACTCCATCATTGAGAGGAGACTTAGAATGAGATTTGCTGGAACGATGTTTGCTTGAACGCTGATCGTCACGATGATGGTGCTTATGATGTCTCAAATGCTTCCTATGTTTATCGTCGTTGTCAGATTTTCCCTTTATATTTGTTTCATCATCCCCGAAGGGTTTTTCAGCAGCCACAGGTGATCTAGCTTGTATTTTCTTTGCTTTCGACTTTTTGTGATGAGATGTGCGAGTAGGGGAGTGATGTGTAGGAGACAAATCTGAGAATAGGGAATGGAAATAGGTACATAAATTAGTCGATAAAATACCCAAAGGAATAAAAGTGGAATATGAAATCAGTAAAATGCAAGAGTAGACCTTCTGTTATACAAGTTAGGCTCAATTAATTGTGGCCAGTATAATAGAGATGGAA